AGGACATAGGAAGGAGGAAAAGAGTGCCTCTGAATTTTATTAATCTGAACAATAATCCACATCTAGTCCCTAACCACTAACTGCTTACAACATAACACTTAATACATAACACTGATTACATAACACTTAAACCAAAAAACCCTTCAGAAATACAAACAGAACACATCACCTTAAGAACCGCAACACATAACCTATTAGTCAACCTATACCAGCTTTAGCTAGCTTATCCGCTTCCCAATTAGCAGCTCTCAGAATATTCCTTGTAATAATACACTGTTCTTCCACACGAGTAGCTATATCTCTCACCAAGGACTGAAACAAAGGGGTACATAAATCCGGATTTTTAATCCACTTCAAAGCACTAGTAGAATCCGATTCCAGGATTATCCTCTGACTTGGAATAGATCCTGCTTCTTCAATAAGAATCAACCCACTTTTGATCGCCAATAGCTCTGCAATTATAGGAGGATCGCCCCAACCTTCTCTGAAAACGAACCAAGCAGCATACCTCTGTCATCCCTAATCAGTCCACCTATTCCTCATTTATCCCATCCCTTAGCCATCGCACCATCTACATTAAGTTTTATGAACCCTTCCGGAGGAGGTACCCACCTAGATGAAGGAGAACACCCCTTTTTCTGTCTTCCTGCTAAATCTGCTAATTTTATATCCCCACTAAGGAGTCGAAAGGAATATGAACATCCTTAAATCTAGCTCCAAACCAAGAAGCAGTTTTAAATCGAGCAAGAAAGAACAACAACACAGTATATACATTCCCTTTCTGGAAAATTATCTCATTCATGCACTTCCAAACCAACCACAACACCACCATTGGAATGAATTTCCAAATAGTGGAGCTCGGAACTAAGTCATCCCACAAAGTTATAAAATCAATCAAATTCTTAAGAACCACAAAAAAATATTCCAATAATTCAAGAATATAGACCACAAATCCCATACCACCTCACAGTGCAAAAACATATGTGAAACTGACTCCTCACACTTCCCACACATTGAGCATAAAGGGTCATCAATCCCAGCCACTCCTCTCTTCAACAGTTCCTCCTTAACCACCACTCTCTGATGTGCAACTTGCCAAACAAAAGTTTCCACTCGGGGTGGTGATACCCCTACCCATACATGTCTTTCCCAAGTACCATCCTTCCCGTCATTACCATCCCGATCAAAAGAATTATTGATGCATGATTTAGCTGAAAAACAACCCTCTCCATTCCCAAACCATATCCAAGAGTCTTCCTCTAATAATGACAAAGTGGTAGTATTCAACAAGGAAATAAGCTGCAACCACTGCTCAACCTCCCAATCCACCAAGTTCCTTCTCACTTGAATATCCCACACCCATCCCGAAGCATTATTCAGCCTGAACTCTGCAACCTTACCCCCTTTATTGTCCGAAAGAGCAAAAAGCCTAGGAAACCAAACTTTAAGAGGAACCAGACCCAACCATACATCATGCCAAAACTCCACTGATTCTCCATTTCCAGGTCTCAAAACAAATATTTTTCCTAAGATAATCCCCAAATTCATCACTAGAAAAGAAGTTCTTAACGACTCCTCTCCAAATCCAAGAAACACGTGTTGTCCAAGTATTCCCAATCATCATAGAATTCAGATTCAAGTTGTACACACAACACACAACTTTTTTCCACCAAGAACTCTTTTCTGAAGAAAATTCCCATATGCATTTCCCCAGAAGAGCCTTGTTCAAGATAAACAAATTCAGAATCCCTAAACCCCCAACCTCTTTGGCTTACACATCAACTTCCAATTCACCCAATGAATGTTCCTTTTTTCTGTCGAACCCCATAGAAAAGATGCCATGATAGAGTTTAATTTGTTGAACACACTGATTGGGATCTGAAAAATAGAAAGGAAGTAAATGGGAAGAGAGCATAACATAGATTTCACCAAAACTGCCCTTCCAGCCAACGATAGAGACTTAGCCTTCCATCCGACCAAACTGTTATAGAATTTCTGTACAACCGGCTCCCACAAGGCAAACTAGTTCCTCTTGGCCCCCGACGATAAACCTAAGTACTCCGATGGAAAAGATCCCATTGAACAACCAATTTCCTTAGCCAAAGAACCTAACACCTCCTCCTCAACATTAATTCCAAATATTCTGCTCTTAGCTAGATTTAACTTCAATCCCACCAACAATTCAAAAATTAATAGCACCCTTCTAACATTAAGCAAATCATGAATAGTTGCCTTGCTAAAAATTATAAGATCATCCGCAAATTGCAAATGTGATAACATGAAGGAACGTTCATGAGTACCTAGCTCGAAACCCAAAAATAGCCCCTTGTCCACTGCTTTAACCAACAGCAAGTGCAACAACTCACCTCCCAAGTTAAACAACATAGGAGATAGCGAACAACCCTGTCTTAATCTTCTTGAAGTGTGAATTTTCTCCGTAGGTGTCCCGTTCACTAAAATCGAAATGGAAACAATTGACACACATTGATAAATCCAAGAACGTCATTTATCTCCAAACCCATTTTACTCATTATTTTCTGCAAAATCACCCAATCCACCGAATTATAAGGTCTCTTAAAGTCCACTTTAAAAACTACCCCTTCAATCATTTTTCCCTCCAAAAATCAATACATTCATTTGCAATAAACGAACAATCCATAATATGTCTCCACGGTATAAATGCAAATTGTTATGGACTTATAACTTCATTAATGCACAAGCTCAACCTTCTAGCTAAGACCTTTGAAAGAATTTTATAAAACCCTCCAACGAGACTAATTGGCCTAAAATCTTCTAGCCCCTCTGGATTAACCCTCTTAGGTATAAGAGAAATGAAAGAATGATTCACCTCAATGTCCCATTCCTTCCCCTCATAAAACTCCTTAAAAAATAGCAACATAACTTCTTTCAAACTTGGCCAGAATTTCTTAAAGAACCCTAAATTCAGTCCATCGGGTCCAGGTGCTTTGTTGCTATCCGAATTATCAATTGCTTCCCAAATTTCCTCTTCAGTAAATGGCTTCTCAAGGGTCGTACTTTGCTCTTTCGAAAGTTTAAAAACTCCAAATCCAATTCCTCAACCTCTAATGTATTTTTTTGGTTAAACAATCCTTTAAAGAACTCCACCACCGAAGCTTTAATTAAACTAGGATCAGAAGTGACTTCATTGTCCACTTTGAGGGACTTAATACATTTTCTCCTTCCTCTACCTCTAGCACATTGATGAAAGAATCTTGTGTTCTTGTATCCTTCCAAACTCCACTTCAATCTTGACTTATGTAACCAAATCGATTCTTCTTTCTTATACAGGTCCCATAGTTCTTTTTTTGCTTCCACTAATTCTTCATAGCCCCTCCGGATCAACCCTCATAGGTAGAAGGCCTTGTTGCATATCTAATTCCATCTCCTGAATTTCTTTCTCCAACCTACTAATTTTTCAGGGAAGGTCTAGGTAATCCTTCCTAGACCATCTCTTTACCGTTTCCTTCACCCCTTTTAACACACTGGAGATTGGTTTTTTCTTCTCTACTTTACATAATTTAATCAACTCCTCCTCCATCATCTCACCAAACCCATCCTCCTACATGACATAGTTAAACATCTTGAATGGTTTAGGACCTCAATTCCATCCCTTATTTTCCAGCAAAATCATATTATGATCCGAAACAGACCTTGCTTGCAGGCTTTGGCTTATCATGGGAAAAAATGATAAAAATCTCTGATCCACTAGAATCAACTACTTTAATAGAAGACGTTAGAATTCTCTTAAACTATTTGAGTACATTTATAATACTTCTTTATAACACGTGCAATGAATAGAAGCTGAAGATATACAAAGAATTGATAGTGGCTGTGGTAGAAAGGCAGTTCAAAGAGAGAGAAATCACACTTAAACACCATCAAACTAAAGCTGCAAAACAAACATCCTAAATGAAATTAGTCTTCATGTACTGGTTATGTCCTGGAAAACCTGAAGCCGATTCCTCCTCGATGAAACAGTGCTTGGTGAGGCATTGTATCCGCCCGTCATACCAGCTGATTGAGTTATACTCTCAATATGATGCTTAGAATGAACAGCATACTGATAAATTATGTTGGAATTCAGATTTTCATCACCGAACTTATCATCATCCTTATTAAACCCATCATCAGAGCTCTTCCCCAAATATTTTCTTCCACATTGAAATTCTTCCTTCTCATCTTCTTCAACCATGTCTGCCCAGGTTTTCTTATTTGGTGCAGCATTTGCCTGTTTTTCCAGTTCGATTTCTGGTTCATCTTTAGAAGAAACAGATGGCTCTACATAAGACTTTGCACTGGATGAGTAGTCACACCATTTGATTGCTTACTAAATGAATAGTCAATGGATTCTTCAGCCGATTTTCTCCTTCTTTGATCTCTATTATTTAGCCACGATGAAGAGTTTCTTGGCTGAGTGAATAAGCCTTCCTGAGCCTCCTCTCCCCTCCTCTTGGCCAACTGCAGAGTTTTTGGGCTTCACATTACTTGAAGAAGGTGGTTCTTCTTTAAGATTCTGGATTGAAGTTGAAGGCACACTTTCAGTGGTTACAGTTTGCTCAAAACATAGCTTTCGAATTGAATTTCTAACCGTATCTTCTCCCCATCTTCCTCCTCTCCTCTGATCTGGAGTGTTGAAACCCCAATAACATCGTCTTGGTTGGGTTAACAAAACTTCTGAGTTCTTCCTACAGCTTTCCTTCAGCTTGCTGGAATACATTGACCCTTCATTCGGTCGTTCAAAATACAATCCTTTTCTCCACCTCTCAGTGAGCATGGTTTGTGGAGTAGTACTACCTTTCGGTCCAATTGGTGTGCACTGTGAACTTGTGTCATTATATCCACGGTATGATTCACTGTTTTGCTCATCTGCATGAGGCAGTCTTCTCTTGTCCATACACCAAGGTATATTGTCTTCATTTTTGGGAAGGAAAACGCTAGCTTCCTTCAAAGTTCTGTCCCTGTGTGATGTTCGAGTTTCTTTCCCTTTATCCTGTTCCTGTGCCACGGACGGCTCTAACTGACTGCGACTCTACTTGCGCCAGCATTTCCATTGCACGTTCATACGATTTCAAGTAGGATTCATCCATCTCTTCGGTTCCAGCTGAAGCTTTAACATCTTGAAGCAGTGACTTTGCTTCACTGATCCTATTCATGTGCATCAAGCATATTGCCAGGTTGCATTGCTTATTCTTATCTGACTCCAGAGACAGAGCTTTTCTGTGATGACACAAAATCAATGTCAAATATATTTATATACTCACACATGTATATACCTTTAGGGAATATAAACATACAATAGCATACCTGTAATGTTGTTCAGCAATTCCATAATTATGTTGCTGGAGATATGCCCAGGCCAGATTCCCTAGTATCCTAAAACATATACAAATTTGCAGAAATTATTTTTTTCTTTTTGAAATAATTTACAGAAATTATAAGATTAAAGAATAATAACAAATAAAGAGTATGAATGCAACCTTGATTTCTCTTGTTCAATAGTAATTTGAATCTTCTTCCCTTGAGATCTTGCAATCTTTGTCTTCTTCCCACCGAAAACGGTTCCTTCCTCGCTGTTCCTCAGTTTGTTCTGAAGGATTTCAATCTCTTCATCAACTCTTCCAGACCTCTGCAACAGCAAACGGTTTCATTCTTAAAAATGTTTAGGGAAAAGATTTGCATTTACTCATGAGCTCCTAAGCTTCATTACTGTGCTAGAACTAAACTAGACTCATCTGAACTCAATAATAACAGGTGAATGAAAACTAAACTTTAATAGAAACAAATGAACATTTAATTTAAAGATAAAGATTGGTATCGTACCTTGTAGAGTTCAATAAGGACATTATCAAGAGACTCCTGAGAATAACGAGGACAAATAAGGCGGAAATATTTCAATGCACTATCAACACGACAGCCATGTCTTTCAAATAAGGCGGACAAATAAGAGTTCAATAAGGACATTATCAATAGCCTCATCAGTTCTATTCAGTTGTTTCATTACGACAGCCATGTCTTTCAATGCACTATCAACACTATCTCCAGCATTAATGGCTGCCCAGAACATGGAAACGGCCTTATTTGGGTCCTTGTCTATCAACTGCGAATCCATAACCAAAATATAAATGTAAAGTAAGTTCACACTGAACTCTAAAGTCTAAACTAATAACGAAATACAGCAAGTTCACATGCAATTCGGATTTCCAGGAACCCAAACCCTGTATAAGGCCAATGGGGGGATGAAAGAAACGAGGGAAGAAGAAAAAAAACAAGAAACTTTAGGAGTTAATCCATGCAAAAGAACCAATAATCAAGAAAATACCAAGGAAACAATATGAAGAAAATTGGAACGTAAAATTGTTTGTAACTAACCTGAACGTGCTTTGCCCTGCCATAAGGAGAATCGGAAGCTGGCACTTTATGAATGACATGAAAGTCTCCATTATTTTCCGGCGAAATCCTTTTCCTCTCTGACAATGGCAAGACGGTGGTGAACTGCGTTTTCTTCCATGCAGGGGGCTGTGGGGTCAAGAAACCCCTCCCTGATAAGTTTTTGTCGCTTGACCACATCGTTTCTCTGTTTTCTCAGCAAAATCCCAAGCCCTTTTCAAGATTGTCCAAGAAAGTGTTTCTATCAGTCGAAAAGAAGAATTTTCGATGGATATACTAATACTACAACTATTACTACCCTAAATAAAGGAAAACAGTCTTTATAAATTTAGACAAAGGCTGTTGAGTTTCTCTTCAATTCTCTCTTGCGATGTGATTTAGGGAGGGAAAGTCACTTTATCTCAGAATTCTGTTTGCACTTTGATAAAAAAAACATGAAGAAAGATTCCGGTAAACAATGAGAAACTGAAAGAAAATTGAAAGAGAAAGTGTGAAGACGATGATGATTATTACGGGAGGAGATATGGGATGACAATAAAAAAAGTAGTAGCCGTTGGGTTTTTACAGTGCCTTTTTTTTTTTTTGTAACTTATTGTTTTCTATAACAAAAATATTTTTCTCTCTAGAATTTCTATCCCAAATTGTTTTTTTTAATTAGAATTGTTAAGTTGGTGCACCTAGCAACATATTTTAATTTTTTTATAAACATGACATTTTAATAGATTGTCCATGTTAATGAAAATACTACAACTAGAAAATATTGATTAGAAATATGTGAAAACATAACCTAATATGGAAAGAAATCTAAGTTATAAAATATGATAGATTTTAGTAAGTTTAAAGATGATTTTATAATAATTTGATAAATTTAATGATCATTTGTAACAATTTGACAAGTATATGAATATATGACATTATTTTCACGAAACAAAACAAAAACATGCATGCACATGTTACACAAGTAAAGCCATTTAAAAACTGAACATTACCATGACTAAATCATTTTACTGCATGCTTAGTAAGCATCTTACACGAGGAAAGTGTTGAAGTTCAATACAACAAAAACAGAGAATTTTCAGCCACTAGTAGTTTTATATTGTAAAGGAATACAATTACCAGCTCTTCAACCGTTCAGACCCACCTATAGCTCTTGGTTCGGATGTAAACAAGAGTTTCCATCCAACTGCCTATTTTCAGTTTCTCTCTCTTCCAAATCCCTCAAGGCTCGACTGCTTGAGAACGAATTGCCCGTGGGGTTGGCCCCAATCCATGCTTGATGAAGTTGCAACACGTATTCCAAGTGCCATAGAACTTCCCCCATAGTAGGTCGGTTCTTCCCCTCGTCTGCAAGACATTTTTCTGCTATCTCTCCAAACTTCTCCATCGATTCCGGAGAATATTTTCCCTTCAGATGTGGGTCGATAATGGTGTCAAGCAACCTTTGTCTCTGCCATCTCATTGCCCACTCTGCAAGATTTATCTGATCTTTTGGCAAGCTCGGATTTATAACAGCACGGGCACAAACAACTTCGAACAGCACCACACCAAAAGAGTAGACATCAGATTTCTCAGTCAACTGCTGCCTGCGAAAATACTCAGGGTCGAGGTATCCAAAGCTCCCCTTCACTGCAGTACTAACATGAGTATGCTCCATAGAAGGACCAGTTTTTGACAGCCCAAAATCTGACATTTTAGCCACAAAATTTTCATCCAACAAAATGTTGGTTGTTTAACATCCCTGTGAATAATTCCCCGCTCTGCTCCTGTGTGAAGGTAGTGCAGTCCACGGGCAGCACCAATGCATGCTTCTAATCGCTGCTTCCAAGTCAACGGTGGGACATCACTTCCAAACAGATGACTTCTAAGAGTTCCATTTGCCATGTATTCATAGACCAAGATCATCTCATTTTGTTCGTCACAGAATCCAATCATGGAGACCAAGTGCCTATGTCTAAGCTTTGAGAGCATCTCAATCTCAGTATGAAATTCAGCAAGCCCTTGCTCGGATTGTGGATTTGCCCGCTTTATGGCTGCAAGAGTGCCATCTTCGACCTCCCCTTTAAATACCTTGCCAAAGCCCCCTACGCCAATCACTAAACTTTCATCAAAATTATTAGTTGCTGCCCGAATCTCAGCAAGTGTAAATTGCTTGCCAACACCAGTGGAGGTCATAGATCCATTTGGGTTAGAAATCTAGATGATCGCTTGGCATTAGAAGAGCTATTTAAAACAGAACCATGAAGGAATAATGGTCGCCACCCAGGAGTGTTGTTTTTTGTGTCACCTGATTCTTTTCCTTGTTTTTTGCAGAAATATATTATACGGATAACAGCAACTGCAAGAATGACAACACTGGCTACACCAGCAGCAATTCCCACCCAGAGAACCCAGAACTTTGAAGGATGATTTGAACTCCCAGTTGAATCATATCTCTGCACATGCGCAAGGTTTCCATTTCGACTAAGCTTGAAAATCTCCAGCCCATTCAAGAGAGCATCAGTGCCTGAAGCACCAGCTGCTGTGTCAGGGCCGAGTTGAATCCAGAGGGTATTGATTTGTGAAGAAACTGCATCAAAGTAATCCTGATGATAAGCTTTATTCATTCCACCTGCCTTCACAAAAAGGTCATAATTATTTGCTGCAGTCCGGTTATTTATGTAGATTCTGAAAATCCTCAGGTTTGGCTTATCAAAAACCAGCTCGCAGAAGTGTAACCGTATTAAGTAATCAAAACCAGGATCCACTTCAAACCTCCATGACATATTGAATCTTTTCTCCAAGACTTGGTTGTTAGACATGCTTCTTGCTGTTTCATACACAAGAAGAGGAGCCACTGAAGAATCATTTGCAGAAGCATAGGTAACATTAGAACTGTTATGCATTTCGGAACCTGCATTTGCTGTGATCATAAAGCCAGAATCCACTTCCCACGCTCTCCAATAATTGGAATCCTCAGTCGGATTAATCTCCGGACCCCGACATTCAACCTATACATAGTTTCAATTCCCCTTCCACTTAGATTCAGATTTGCATCTTTTCCACCCACTTTACTGACTGAATCTGCAAAAAGTTTATTGGTCAAAGGGATAATCTCTATGGCATTAATGAAACCAAATGATCCTTTTTTTGGGGTGAACTCGATCACAAGTGTATTTGAATTGACAGGTAAAATATACTCTTTAACCAAAGAGAAGAAGCTGGAATTGCTTCCTGGACTTTGGAGGTACAAATTCTTGTGTGCAATCTCGCCAACAACATTGAACTGTGCCAAGAGTTTCAGACCATTTGCCACAACATCGAAAGAAGATTCATTTACGTTGTGATCCTCAAAGGAAAAAGGACAGAAATGAAGTCTCAAGAAATAGTTCCCTAGAATGCCATTAAACGTGTAGTTCAGGTCATCACTGAAAAGTCGGGCAGATTTATAGAGTGTCGCAAAGATTGAATCACCACTTAGTGTAGAAGTAGAGGAAACAACACCAGGAGAACTAAGGGTGAGATTGTTATCAGGAGTCAAATCACCAACCCATTTTCTACCATCCACATTCAAACTAGAATCTGTACCACAATTTATCAGAAAAGACTTCACCTGAGCTTCTCCACTTCTAAAAACTGCAGATAGTACAAGAAGGAGGAGCAAAGACAATAACTGCCAGCCTTGGACCTTCCCCATTACCACACTCCCTCAAGAAATTAAACCCCTTGTTCTCTATCTCTCTCTTATGTTTCTCTATCTCTCTCTTATGTTATGAAGAATAGCATGAACAAACCCAAGCTAATAAAAGAAACGAGTCACAAAGATTTTCCCTTTTTCCTCAAGCCTTAGACGAATAGGAAGTAATTCATCTACAAAATGTAATAAGACAAACAGCGAGGTTTATATGTCAGCAAGCAACTTCAACAACATGCATTCCCCTGTTGGAGTAAGAAATAGCAATTTACCTCAAGGATCCAATCTGGGTATTTGAGTTTTCCCCTTGAGAACCCCCCAAAGCAGCAAAAAACCCAGCCTGAAATTTTCCCTTGGAAAAGAAACTTTCTTGGCTAACTGAAAAAGACCAGATCTAAATCAAGCTGAGCTGGAAATCAAAAGAAAAGGAGTCAAAAACTAAGTGAAAGAACACAATGGGTTGCAATGGAACTATGATTGGTAGAAAGATACCAGATCAGGTGAGCAGGAAGACTATGCCAGAAATGTTTACAAATAATTAATTAAATGAAGAAAATAGTAATAAAAAAGTGATAAGGTTATCTGAATAAGAAACTAGAACATGGGGTGTTGCCGAAACAGATTGGAAAAGTTCGCTTCATCTAACCTTTGTTTGCTCAATAGAGACAAGAATCTGACATAATTAAATCTGCCATTTATTTTTATATTCTATTAATTAAAATTCAATAATCATCTCTTTTTTCTAATTCTTACTGTTGGTTCTTGCTTTTACAATGCATGCAAATATGCAATCCAAGATTGTAAATGAATAGTTACTGAAAATAATAGGTGAAACAAATATAAATTATAATAAAATAATATAAAAATTATAAAAGTATTATAAAATCAGAAATAAGTTTTTAACATTTAACATTTAAAAAGGAAAAAATTAATAACGTTCACCAAAAATATATATTTAAAAAAAAATCTGAAACAATTACGCTAACGAATTTTGAATCGAGGAGATCTAAGAAAATTGCAGTTTCTAAAAGCAAATAAGGGGAAGAACAATACGGACGTTGAGATCACTGATAGCGAGACCGGTGATAAGGAGGCCAAGTGTCGTAGCTTCCGCGAGGACAACGTTGACCACCGTTCCGTCTCGCCGCCACACGAGACTTCGAGTCTCTCGTAACTGACGCGCCCCAGTCCCGCGGGGATGTTAGTCCCTTTGTCGAATTTTAACTCCCTCCAAGCCTTTGTATTCCTCTTCTCGTGTTTTAATAATGTTTTAAGGTCAACATCATTTTCATAAGTTATTTTCTTAATAATTAAAAAATATTTAAAATTAGTTTTTTAATAAATTTAATAATAAAAGAAAGTATTTTTTTAAAAAAAAAATTCATTCTCTTATGTTATAGTTTTTAAAATTACTAAAAACATTCTTCTTTCTCTACTACAGTATTGTGTTCCCTCTCCTCTATATATAATTAATATTAAATCTATATTTTATCCCAAAAAATCTAAAAATATATTAACTTATATCACACTCCAATTTAATTTTAAAAACAGGTGAAATATTTTTTTTAATAAAAAAGTTAAAATATTCTAATTCATTAGTTAAAAAGTAATTGATTTAAGATTTAATTAATATTTTAACCGTATAAAGCTAATAATGTATATGAAATGTTGGACGGAAGCAAAGAGATGCTCATAGAGTCCTAGTGCTCATACTGATTTTCTTTTACGGGAAAGATGATGGATTCTTTTAAAAATGTTTATCCTGAATTTTAAAACCATTTTCCTATATCAATTGAAACAACAAAGTGATAAATTTCATTATTTAATTTATTTAAAAATAAAC